CGAGTCCCAGTTGGAGTGGTTCCGTGACGGCTCTGCCCTCAACACCATGGCCCGCAAGGCTGCTCAGGCTTAAATGCGCTTCTGGTGTCGTGACTCCCCAACCTTAAAACCTTCAAGTGTTTCGGTTATCGCCGAGACACCTGTGTAAACTACGTTCTCTTGTGTGTTGAACAATTCAGATACATGCTTCTTGAAAACCACGGTGTCACACGGCAGCTATTGGATTAGTTGGCTATTGCCCGTGTTCTCTTTTCAAGAGCAGGATACGAGGAGTTGCGCTCTGGGAAAAATTATGATGAACTTGTGTGTTTTTGTAGGCCTGTTTTTCTCGGCCTTGCGTTGATTCCCGATATCTGGGTGGGCTCAATGGATATAACTCTTTTGATTTTTACATCACTGTCTTTGTATGTTAGAAATGGCATACATACACAATTTCCTTTTGTTTTTTTCAACTGGTTCCTTTCATAGATCGTAGATGTGTATACAAAGTATCTCAACCGTGGTCCGTCATAGTAGACAGCCATGAATGTCCCAGAGTAATCCACTTGACACCTCTGAGGCTCGGACACATCCAAGGCTGAGATAAGCTACCGAGGCTCAGTTTCTGCCCCGCGTCGGTTGGACTTCAGTATAAGATTGACCTGGACGCCATCAGACTGTCTTATTCCGTCATTGGTTCGAATTTAGTACTTTGATATTTTCAAGTCCACCTCTACATCTCATTGCAAACCTATACTATCGAATAAGCCTAGAGCATCTTGCATGATAAGCCACCCATCAGTTGAATGCTGATCTGCACTTCAGGACAGATATAAAGATCGGGTTGTTGAGAATCCTCCCTTCCATCTACTATCTCCGCCTCATTCCAAAATATGGCGACCCAGCTCGTCCAGCTTCCAGAAGTGGAGCGCCTTAGCGCCTCAGTCGTGAGGATTTTAGGCGGGAATCCGGGGAAGGTGAGTGCATAGATGCCATCAAGTCAGTATACCACAGCAAGCTGATCGATAGCACCAACGCAATACAGTTCACACTCCAAGGTAAGCATCTCACTCCCTCCCAAAACCCAGAAGAAAACACCTAACCATAAGCCAGGCACAAACACATACTTAATTGGTCGCGGCCATAAGCGAATCTTAATAGACACAGGCGAAGGCAAGCCCACATGGGCAGCAAACCTTCAGTCCGTGCTCTCAGAAGAAAATGCAATAGTGCACCAGGCTCTGCTGACACACTGGCACGGCGACCATGTCAGCGGGCTGCCAGATCTGCTCAGAATCTGTCCCCAGGCTCAGATCTTCAAAAACCAGCCTGATTCCACTCAGACGGATATCCAGGAGGGCCAGGTGTTCTCCGTCGAAGGTGCTACTTTGACAGCATTCCATACGCCTGGACATACGGTTGACCATATGGTATTTATGCTCGAGGAGGAGAATGCTATGATTACGGGTGATAGTAAGTGCGGCTCTTCAATCCAACCCTTCGATGAAAATGATATACAATGTCCCTCGAAATATCTAACCCAAATCTACAGACGTCCTAGGCCACGGTACATCCGTCTTCGAGGATCTCAAAACCTACCTCAGCAGTCTGCACCGGATGCGCGACCGCGTCGCCTCAGGCCGGGGATACCCCGGACACGGGGCGGTGATCGAGAACGCCGGTGCGCGGATCACCGAGTACATCAAGCACCGTCAGCAGCGGGAAGACGAGGTCCTGCGCGTGCTGCGATTCGGTAAGCTTGATGTCGCGGATGGCGAGTCGGCGCCGGAGCACAAGCAGGCGTGGACGCCTATTGAGTTGGTCAAGCGTATTTATCGGGACGTTCCTGAGAATTTGCATTTACCGGCTTCGCATGGTGTGTCGCAGGTGCTGTTGAAGCTTGAGGATGAGGGGCGGACGGTTCATGATTCGGACTCTGGGAAATGGAGTCTTGTGAGTGAGAAGTCGGCCTTGTAGTTGTATAGCTATATAGTTTTATTCGCTATAGAACCGAAATGGGATCTAACTAGATACGTTTTGTCTTAGAATAACATTCGACGTCAGCACTCGGTCACTCGTCTTCCTGGCTAGGCCATGTTGTACAAAGTCAGAATGACCAAAAGACGAAGAATTTACTGTCGAAAAATATCTCTTTTGAATCGCATAGAAATTATAGCACGATATCCCCTTCCCTTTATATATTTCCCTGCAGTCCATGTGAGTGATAGAGGCCCACCGGTAGTTCCAACAATTCCAGGAGTGACGTTCACTTTCCGGTCCCCCGCTTTGCCCTCACCTTTCACCTTTTTTCTCTCCCTCCACACACTCGCCATATCTTGTTTGGTATTACTGCTAGCAGGTATTCACCTATGGAGATAGATTGCTAGTTTGGTGCTCATCCGGAGTCAATATCCACTTGTTCCAAAGGTTGGTTCGCATTCGTCATGATCTCCAAGGGTTTCCCCGCCTCCAAAACCGACTCTAATCGCATGTTCGCTCGAAACTACAGGGTCCACTTTGCTTCGACTACAACTTACAGCCCTTATTCTAATCCAAATAATCCCATCCTCTGCTTTCGCCCGGCATCCGATCCATCACCATGCCTTCCGTCGAGCCCAAGCATGAAGCTCGCCTGCTTCTGGTCTCAAACCGTCTGCCGATCACAATCAAGCGGTCTGATGATGGAAAATACGATTTTTCAATGTCCTCCGGAGGCCTGGTCAGTGGTTTGAGTGGTCTCTCAAAATCAACCACCTTCCAGTGGTACGGCTGGCCCGGTCTGGAGGTTCCCGAGGACGAGATCCCCGTCGTGACACAGCGCCTCAAGGATGAGTACGGCGCTGTACCAGTTTTCATTGATGATGAGCTGGCAGATAGACACTACAATGGGTTCTCCAGTCAGTTACTCCTGCTCCCCGCAAGCCCTTGGAATGTACACTGATATTCGTTCTTCCGGATAGACTCCATTCTCTGGCCTTTGTTCCATTACCACCCTGGCGAGATCACCTTCGACGAGTCCGCCTGGGAAGCTTACAAGGAAGCGAACCGTCTTTTCGCAAAGGCTATCGCGAAGGAAGTACAGGATGGCGACTTGATTTGGGTGCATGACTACCACTTGATGTTGCTTCCGGAGATGCTGCGCGAGGAGATCGGCGATAGCAAGAAGAACGTGAAGATCGGGTTCTTCTTACATACACCGTTCCCTAGCAGTGAGATCTACCGGATCCTCCCCGTGCGGAATGAACTGCTCTTGGGTGTCCTGCATTGCGACCTGATCGGCTTCCACACTTATGATTACACGCGCCATTTCCTAAGCAGTTGCTCGCGTCTACTGTTAGTATACCCTACGCGGCTTGATGTTCATATCTAACCGGAATTAGTGGTCTTGCAACTACGCCTAATGGTATTGAGTTCCAGGGCAAGATTATCACATGTGGAGCTTTCCCCATCGGTATTGACCCCGAGAAGTTCAAGGAAGGTCTGAAGAAGGAGAAGGTCCAGAAGCGTATTGCTATGTTAGAGCAGAAGTTCCAGGGTGTGAAGTTGATGGTCGGCGTCGACCGTCTTGATTACATCAAGGGCGTGCCCCAAAAGTTGCACGCGCTCGAAGTGTTCCTCAGCGATCACCCAGAATGGGTTGGGAAGGTCGTGCTTGTACAAGTTGCCGTTCCCAGCCGACAGGATGTCGAGGAGTACCAGAATTTGAGGGCCGTAGTGAACGAACTGGTGGGTCGGATTAATGGAAAGTTCGGTACGTATTTCCCTTTGGTGTTCTGAACGAGGCTAATCGTCTTTCAAGGCACGGTCGAGTTCCAGCCTATCCACTTCCTGCACAAGTCCGTCAACTTCGACGAACTCATCGCTCTCTATGCCGTGTCGGATGCCTGCATTGTCTCATCTACCCGTGACGGCATGAACCTGGTGGCCTACGAGTACATCGCCACCCAGCAGAAGCGCCATGGAGTGTTGGTGCTTTCTGAATTCGCCGGAGCAGCCCAGAGTCTGAACGGTAGTATTATTGTGAACCCTTGGAACACCGAAGAACTGGCAGGCGCCTACCAAGAAGCCGTGACCATGAGCGACGAACACAGGGCTCTCAATTTTGCCAAGTTGGACAGATACGTGTCCAAGTACACTAGGTACGTCACCCTATCCCTGCCAAGCAGCCATCCTGTATCTTTCGTATCTCGTATTTGGTTCCCGACTGACCATTCTCTAGCGCATTCTGGGGCCAATCCTTCGTCACCGAACTCAAGCGGATATCAGCCCACTCTGCCGATAAGTTCCAATCCAAGAAATTGGCGGAAACGGATCCGAGCGAAAGACATGTGCCACCCCAAACGCACGCGTAATAATCTTTTTATGTTTCTCTTCCGAGACATGTTGTTCCCAGTTTCCTGGTGCTCTGCTGTCGGAACGGGTATTTCAAATGAAACTAGATGGCCTTCACGAACATGGATGAGGCGAAATGTATTTTCTTAGAGGTTGTTTGGTTCTGCTTCTATTTTTGTCTTCTTAAATCTGAATTCTGTATACAGGTTTTCCTTCTAGACCAGACTTATACAGAGAACATATCCCGGGTTAATGTATCTTCCGGGTCGGCGGGAGATCTGGGCAGAATAGAATATCCCCATACAACATATGGCCGTGATGAAGGACATCTATTATGAGCAAACGAATCAGACTGGGTTGTCCCTGGGGAAGTTTCTTAAGGCTTTAGGCTGTAACTCGCATGCTGTTACACTCTTGCCTTTTCCCCCATAGAGCTGCCTCATACTTGGTGAGCTAGGCGAGATCAATCTTTGATGTAATCAGACTATTTTACTTGAGCCTGGTCATAAATTGCTTATTGTGCAAAGTGATACTCAGGAGGTCAGTCACGTGCATATTCTGACAGCTCATTCCAGCCCTGGAGGATACATGTACTCACTAAACACTCCAATCAGTGAGCAATTCTGATCACTCACCTGCCCTAATAGAAGGCCCTGTTTTGTTTTGATCGTCTTGTATTGTTAATTAGGATGACTTTAGTTCGGCAATCATTTCGGAAAATTACCCCCCCTGGATATTTGTTTTGTCCAAGACGGTCCTTCTCTCAAGCCATCTCCCTCCCATCACCCATAGAGGAGGAACAATGTCCTACTTACAATCCTAAGAAATATTATCCCGCTCGCATTGGGGAGACCGTTGGTCGGTATCGCATCGTTTCGAAGCTCGGCTGGGGTGCTAGTTGCACGGCTTGGCTGGCACAAGATGTTTCTCGGTTAGTCGAACAATTAGTTCTCAGTGCCATATCTTTTCTAAAACCGCGAAGTTGGCGATTTCAGTCGCCCCGATACGTAACCTTGAAGATCACAAATCTCAGAGAAGGGGAAAAGAAAGCCACGGAAGAAGAGATAGCAATCTCGCAGCATATTGCTGCCTTGAAGTCTGATAATGAAGCTATACGATACGTCCGGTTGATCAAAGAGTCGTTTTTGGTGCAAGGGTCTAACAGGCAACATATTTGCTTGGTATTCGAACCATTACGAGAGCCCATTTGGTTTCTTGGAAGACACCCTGGGAGAGTCGGCGTGCCTCCAAACATTGTCAAGGCATTTTTGCGGATCTTACTTCAAGGTCTAGACTTTCTCCACTCCGAGTGTCATGTTATACACACTGGTGATTCACTAACTGTCTTCCTAAAAATCGTGTTGACTTTCTAACTGGCCGCAGACCTGAAAGCTGATAACTTCCTTATTGGCTTTGAACACGCTAATGTTATCCAACGATATGTCCGCCAGCAAGAGCTCGATCCCGCACCGCATGTATTTCGGAATGGGCGGCTTGTATATCATTCTAGACCAGACTTTGGGCCACTGACGAAGGGGGTATGTTTAATAAAGATCTGTGACTTCAGCGCTGCCGTCTTCGATGATTGACAACACCACACAACCATGACATCCAGCCTATACCATTCTGCGCACCCGAGGTCCTTTTAAAGGCCGGTTGGACTTATAGCGCTGATATATGGAACTTGGGAACAGTGGTAAATAGCCAAGAGTGAGAGAGACCTATCGCATATTGGTGATACAACACTCTTTGGTGCAGGCGCACAGCATTCCCTGGAGGCGCACGTTGCGCAAATGATAAGACTTCTAGGTCCGCCTCCCTCGCAATTTCTGAAGACATGTGATCCATCTATATGTGGTCGTTTGTTCTCAGCCCAGGGTATGTTTTTGCCATATTCCGAGATATGATGGACTCTGATTTACTCGCATGTGTAGGGGACTTCAAATTTCCTGATCTGATTCCATCCGAAAGCTTCAATTTCTCGAATGTGGTACCTGCTGTCCTCGAAGGGGAAGATAAACGTCTTTTTATTGAGTTCGTTCGCAAGATGCTTCAATGGGAACCTGAATGTCGGTTGACTGCAAAGGAACTTTATGATGACCCTTGGCTTCATATGTTGTAGTGACAAGGGGGTCACAGCTATCTTGTGTACAATTTGTCTCTGGCTTTTTAGGGCAAGGTTTATTATTTACTTCAAATCAAATACGAGGCAAGCCGATTGGGCACTATGTGGCATTAACTAACTACCCTGCACAATACATAGCTGGCCATTCAAGATATCAGTAAGCCCTACTCTGCCCGCCAGCATATTGGCTGTGGGTAAGTCAATCTGATCTGGTGCATATAACTAGCTCATCATGCATGCTGATCACCAAGCAGTTCATTATCCCACCGCCCAAATCTCGAAATCCCGTTCTGAACTTCTCACGACACCAAAAGCTGTAGACTACCAACTATGCCAGAAACTTTCCGTTTCTGGACTTTTTGTGTCTCCGAATGTTCCGCTGCTGCTGCGATCGATGTCGGTCTCTGCGAACGCTGTAAGCAGCATTTTTGCGCCATTCACGCCATCTTAGCAACCCATTGTTGCAAGGTACCCGCATCATGTAAACTCCGACTATCTGAGGCGTTCTAATCCGACCCTAGAAATACCCTCTTGACGAAGATGAATGGGCGGCTGCACAAACAGAAGAAGTAACAGCCCTTCGACACATGATGAACGACGAAATCCTTCGGCGTCGAGCTTCCGAACGCAACGGAGGCCTCAATTGTGAATTTGATCCCTCAGACCCTCTAGGACAGAAGCGGATGTGCGGCATGCATATCCATCTTCGAATCATTTTTAGCAATGGAACGGCCTGGCTTGCTCGAATACTGCGGCATAACTACACCTCATTCTCAGACGACTTTAGCAATCTCTGCTTAAAGAGTGAATGTGCTACTCTGAAATGGCTCGAAGATATTAACGTGCCGTCGCCGAAACTTTACGACTTCGGTCTGCGGAACGAACCCGAGATTAAGGTTGGAGTTGCGTATATGCTGATAGAGGAACTCCCTGGGACACCTTTACTTCTCCCTAGCCCGTCGGAGGAGCAGTTGCGAAAACTGTACAAGAGTTACGCCGACATCTTGTGCACTATCTATAAGTACCCCATTGACCAAATCGGTGCTCTCTCTTTACAACCAGATGGTACTATCTGCATAGGCCCCATCGTGGGCGATCGCTCAGGTACATTTTCGCAGATAGGACCTTTCAGCAATGCACGAGAATACTACACGACATGGGCAGAGAAATATCTCGAGATGATCTGCGACCACCAGCTTTTCACACCGTACTCTGTCAATGCCTACTTAATCTTCAAATACCTCAAGGAACTGGCGCAACAAGGGCAGTGGAATGCGTTTGAATCGAGTATCGACAATGGCCCCTTCTTCTTAAAACACATGGATGATAAAAGTGACCATATACTTGTCGATAAGGATTACAATGTCACTGGGTTTATCGACTGGACGTTTGCTAGGGCAGTGCCGATGTATGCGGCATTTGGTCCTTCACTGTTGACAGCAGATATGAACGATATTTACCAAGGCAAGGCTGGGCATCCCCGGGTGACAGAATCCTGGCCGAGGCTATACAGACTAGGGACAAGTATTTGGCTCGCTTTGTCAGTGGCCCTGACCTGGTTCGCCGCTTCTCCTTTGCTCTCGGAATGGGCATGTGTATGTCTTGGGATGAAGCAGTTGATTTGTTCCGAGGCCTCATATCTACGGCTGAAGGTATCGGCTCGGAGTTTGACTGGGATGTCTGGCGTCAAAATCGTATAGCTCAATGGGCTGGTGATGGGAGGTTGCAAGCCCTTCTGCTTGAATTGGGAGAAATCTAGAATCTCGATATTTGACCGAATTGAGTGAGTAGCAGCAAGATCACAAAAATTTGATTCTGATTGTCGTGATGGTCCACAAGAGATATCTATGAGAGCCGAACTCCGTCGTATTAGATATTTTAAAGACTTGCAAATAATCCGAAGTGTACATACAATTTCTGAAATAAAATATGAAGGTTTGCTATCAAATTGCCCTGTCAGTCGACCCATGGATGTCTTATACTATGGTGCAAACAGTGCAAACATGCTTCCCCGAGAAATTCTCGAAATCCTCAACTGCAAACACCTCAAGCTCGCAACCATTTGGGCGGTCACCATCACCAACCACCTGCTTGACCACCTCTAATTACTCGTCCTCTCCAATTCCACCCAACTACAATTGGAAGAGCAACCGCCTGCTCCCCCACCAACAATGGCACCAAGCCATCTCCTCCGGGCAACAATGCCTCTCCGAGCCTCAATCACGACACCTCTGTCCCTGTCACGCCCCTCAATTCTCCAATCAATCACATACCTCACCACGCCCCTCCGCAATGCCTCAACAACTACCCCAACCCCTACACAGCCGACGACCACCGGGACAGAAACAAAAGCGCCCTCCCGACTGCGCAAATACGCCTCAGCCCTGAAGACCGGCACCGTAGTCTCCGTCGGCCGCATGGACCGCACAGTGGGCGTCAGCCACCGCCACACCCTCTGGGACCGACACATCCGCAAGTTCTACCCTCAGGAAACGCACTACCTAGTGTCCGATCCCCGCAACTCGCTCCGCAACGGCGACATAATCGAGTTCTCGTCCGGCGCGCCGAAGAGCCGAAACGTGCACCACGTCGTCGAGCGCATCATCACGCCTTTCGGCGATGCGATCGCAGACCGTCCTCCTGTGCTGTCGAAGGAGGAGCGCGAGGCTGAGCGTGAGACGCGCTGGGCGGCTAAGTATCTGCGTCGTGAGTCGAGACGGCTTGGTCGTGAGGTGGATCTTGTGGAGGAGGCCGCTAAGGCGGGTGTTCCGGTGCCTAAGGGTGAGGTGCTTTCTACCGCGCAGCTGATTCATCGCATTCATGCGGAGAATGAGCGCGTCGGGAAGGTTAAGAAGCTTGTGCAGGAGAGACTGGCGGAGGCTGAGAGGGTTGGACAGGAGAGTGTGAAGGAGGCTAAGCAATGAGCAGTTGGCTTCTACTGAGAAGTGTACGTTTAGCTCTTTTTGGGACGGACTTCAGTATCTGAATTGCCGGATTTGTCCTTCGGCCTCTGTGGTGTTGCATATCGGAGGTCATGTACTGTATTATACCGCTTCAATCTATTTTCATTGGCATTGTGATATGCTGTATTCCTGGGGTGGATTTTCCAACTAAAAAACTAAAGATAGGCTGAAGTATGTATGAGAAGAAGGAGAGCCATCAACATCAAAAAACCAAAAAACCAACAATGGACATCGTAAACATGGGTTTAGCCTAGACGGAACCGTCTATTCCAATCCCTAATCATTTGGAAACAAAAAAAGAAAGTCACTGGTATCATGGAAGAATAACCAACTCCTTTACCCAGAAACGGCAAACTATGCCCGCCAAATCCCGAACCCACCCCGGCAAGAGACGCAGTGCTCCCCCTAGCATTGGGTGTTGCACGGCCTCATCTTATTTCCATTGCTCGCTCGAACATCATGCCGCCCAGACCCGGACCTTGAGATCAACACTGCCAGTGGCCAGAACACATCGAATGGACATCTTTGTCGCATTAGGGTCTTCCTTCGCCCCATTAGACGCAGCCGGGGCACCGTTCGTACCCTCCTTTGCACCGGCATCCTTGAGCAAAGGCGGTGCCCACCGGAGCGAACTGATAAAGTGGTCGTGGGCCGCGATCGTACGCACACACTTGCATTCTTGCGTGAGATCCCAGCACCGCATGGTCTTGTCGTCAGATACCGAGAGAAGGTATTTCCCGCCAGGATGGAAGACCAATGAGCGGACCCAGTTGTCGTGACCAACAAGGGTTTTGATGCAGTTTCCGCGGGTATCCCAGAGACGGATAGTCTTATCGCGAGAACCAGTAGCCACAAACTCGGCGGACGATGATGCTGGCGGTGGTTTCTTTAGCCCCGCAAGAGCTGCGAAGTGAGGGTAGCTTGTTGCCGGAGCGAAGGCTACACACTCGATATAATGTTCATGGCCCAGGAATGTTGACTTGGTATCACCAGACGAGATATCCCACAGACGTGCGACTCGATCGTCTCCACCGGAGAAGAGGAACCGGCCGTCTGGGGATGGTGTAACATCTCGAATCCAGTCTCCATGTCCCTGCATGGATTTGACACAGTATCCAGTTGTGACGTCCCAAATGCGCAGTGTGAGATCGCGAGAAGCCGAGACTAGCAGGTTTCCTGACATGGGAGACCCTGCAGCTCCGGATGGAATGAACCGAATTGCTGAAACACTGTGGTCGTGTCCTGGTAGGGTTCGGATGTTCTTATACTCGTCAGCCGGGTCCCACAATTTGATCGTTAGATCTGACGAGCATGATGCAAGAAGTGTGCCTCCACGCGGTCCACCATAATCGACGTCTAACACTGCCCTGGTATGTCCTTTGATTGTGCGCTCTAGTTCACCCAGCTCCCAATCCCAGATCTTGATTGTGGTATCATCGGAACCGGAGGCCAGTGAAGAGAATACTGGATGGAAAGCGAGGCACGATACTGGCGAGCGGTGTGATTGGAGGTCATGACGCGCTGGTGCTCGAGGCAGCCAGGTAACGGGGTCTTGGTTTTTGCGATTCAGCGAAGTCGGGGTTGCGGTATCCAGCTCGGACTGGAGTGCAGCGCATCGTGCTTCCAGTTCCATGATCTATACCACCATTGCAGGTTAAAAAGATGTAGACGTGTTGGTATGCCCGGTCGTCGCACCTTTTTCTGTAACCGGACTACACTCGTCCATTTCTTCTCCAACAGGCCTTCATATTTCTTTAGTGTGCTCTCGTCGACCCTGATCGAGTCGCCCAGTTCTTCTCGTAAAGCGGCGGAGCTGTGGTGCAAATTCACAGAGGTAAGGTAGGCGATCATTCCTTTATGTCTGTCGCAAAACACCATCAGCGATCACCCCTAAAGGAAACAGATCGGGTCACATACAGCTCCTCCGCCTGCCGCGTTGTGAGAAGTTGGCTCATGATGTTATATGTGCTCTCTGTTCTCTCTGCTCATCCAAATGCGCATATACCAAGTTGGTTCGGAAAACTGCGATGGAGGGGGAGTGGTGTGAGCGGTGTCGAGGGGAGTCGGGGGGAGTTAGAGGGAGGTTAGAAGTTGGCAATTGAAGAATTGATCCAAGAGAAGTAAGAGAAACCGAAGAATAGAGAGAAAGAGAAGAAGAGAAGATAAATATGAAGGGCACGTTGTGATCCACCGCGGGGAGGGGAGAACAAAACAATCTTCGCCAAGGCTTTTGTTTACTTTCCTCCAACTTCAACTGTTGATTTTCTTTAACTCCTGTTGGTTTCGACTATTATCAGCCACTCCTTTCAATATACAATTTGGCACTTTGACTGAGATATTCATGTTCTGGTCAAGATCAGTGTCTTATTAAAGCAAGACAAGTCCGTCTTTGATACCCTTTGGGCATCAACCCAACACAGTACGACCATCTGAACCCCCCGAGACACCCCGGAAGAGCCCCCGCAACACCAACTCAGAGCCTTTATATCTGTCCCCGGAACTCTCTTTGATACTATGCGCACTTCTGCTCAGATACCGCAGAACGTGCTGACTCCTTTTTTTCCTAGAATCCGTTGATAATTCCCGCCCGTCGTTAGAATGGCTGAAGTCCCAGAGGATTTCTCCTCCTTACCCTTGCCCGACCGGTTCACTCATAAGGTGCGCTCATCCCTGCATAACTAGCCCGACCGATAGGATTACGGAAATCTGACTCCGATGCACAGAACTGGAAAGTTCGAAAGGAGGGATACGAAGATGCGAAAGCGCAATTTGAAAAGACCCCCGATGAATCAGATCCGATTTTCGGACCATTCATACAAGATCCCGGCTTATGGAAAGGGGCGGTTGCAGATTCCAATGTCGCGGCACAGTCTGAAGGTCTGGCAGCATACTGCGCGTTTTTGAAGTTCGGAGGAGTCCAGGCCTGTACGAGGTGCGTCAACCCCGATCCCAGTCGCGACGCCTGAACCCGCTGACAACATTCCCATTTACAGGAGCCGCACGTATACAATTGGTCCTATTGCTGAGAAGGGTCTCCCATCTACACGACCGGCCGGTAAAGCCTGCGCGCAAGAAGCTATTTTATTATGTGTCGAATTAGACAAGGCCGATCCAGTGATCGAGGAGCTACTACCTATGCTATCACACAAAGTACCTAAGGTGGTCGCCGGATCTCTCGCAGTTTTCACCCTCATTTATCACAACTTCGGCTGCAAGATTGTCGATCCGAAGCAAACTTTGAAGGCGCTGACCAAGGTTTTTGGTCACCCTGATAAGAATGTCCGCGCGGAAGCACAAAACCTGACCGTGGAACTCTATCGCTGGCTTCGGGAGGCCATAAAGCCTCTGTTCTGGGCCGATTTGAAACCTGTGCAACAGGGAGATTTAGAGAAACTATTCGAAACTGTGAAGCAAGACCCCACGCCGAAGCAGGAGCGATTCACCCGGGCACAACAAGATGCCATGGCTGCGGCCAGCGCTGCACCGGCGGGTGAGGAGGGTGAAGTACCAACTGGGGACGAATTTGATGAGGAGGAGGATGTAGTGGTTGTTGATGCTTTCGACCTGGCGGAACCGGTTGATGTTATCAAGAAAGTACCGGAAAACTTCCATGATCAATTGGCCTCGTCAAAATGGAAGGACCGCAAGGAAGCGTTGGACGCTCTCTATAATGTGCTTAATGTTCCCCGAATCAAAGATGGTCCCTACGATGAGATCGTGAGGGGGTTAGCCAAATCTATGAAGGACGCCAACGTCGCTGTCGCCACGATAGCTGCGAACTGTGTGGACGTGTTGGCCAGGGGCCTGCGCAACGGATTTACCAAATACCGAAGCACCATTATGTCGCCCATGTTGGAACGTCTGAAAGAAAAGAAGACGACTGTCGCAGATGCTTTGGGTCAGGCGTTGGATGCTGTTTTCAGCACGTCGACCCTTACAGACTGCTTGGAAGAAATCCTCGAGTACCTCAAGCACAAGAACCCACAGGTCAAACAGGAGACTGTTAAGTTCTTGGTTCGTTGCCTGCGTACAACCCGCACGGTACCAGCCAAGGCAGAACAGAAAGCGATCGCCGATGCTGGTACAAAGCTATTGACCGAGTCAGCCCCGGCAATCCGCGAAGGAGCTGCTGAAATTCTGGGTACATTAATGAAGATCCTGGGTGAACGGGCTATGAATCCGTATCTCGATGGACTGGACGAGATTCGCAAAACCAAAATCAAAGAGTACTTCGGAACCGCTGAAGTCAAGGCCAAGGAGCGACCCAAGCCTATTGTGGCACCTCCAAAGCCTGCTGCCCCGGCTGGCAGGAAGGTCGTTGGCAAGAAGCCGGCAACGGGGCTGAAAAAATTAGCCCCTGTAGCTGCTCCACCTGCCCCAGAAGAACCCCCGGCCAGGCCAGCAGCCAGAGGCGTCCCTTCAAAGCTCGGTGCTCCGAGGGCCGGCGGCCTTCCAACTCCTGGATCAGGTCTCAAACTGCAACGGAAACTTGCTGGCCCCGGAAGCACTGCGTCGCCGGCAAGACGAGTTGCTGCACCCCCAGAGGAAGATATGGCCCCCCCGCCAGCAGCTCCCAAATTCGGTCTTGGCCGTGGACTTGCGGGTCGGCCTATTGCCAGACCGTCGGCGCCTCTTGAGCCTCCTGCCCCTACCCCTGCCGCCAATGCTTTGGCAGATGCCGAGCGTGCCGAGTTAGAGGAATTACGGGCAGAGAAGGAGAACTTCAGCCGAACCGTGGAAGATCTGAAGTCGGAACGTTCGAGGCTCAACTCAACGATCACCGAACTTCAGAATCAGAATGCACAGTTGATTGAGGACCACACCCGCGATGTCTTGAGCATCAAGGCTAAAGAGACTCAACTTGTTCGCGCACGGAGTGACGCGGAAACCGCAGAGGGAAGTGTTCAAAAACAGCAGAGAGAGATCGAAAGATTGAAGCGTGAACTCGCGCGAGCACTTCGCGCGTCTGCCGTAAGCCCACCTAACGCTGGCTCCGACGCAGGAAGCATGGGCATGCCAGACACAAACTCGATGTATCAAGATCACATCGGCAATGGCAATGCTGCTTCACGATCTGGTCTCCACATGGGGTCCCGCTTCGAAAGCTCGCGTCCTCGAAGCTATGCCTCTGCCACTCCCAGTGAGGAAAGGGAGAACAACGGGATGGAATCGCCAGGACCCAGTAGTCGCAATGGCGGCCTAGGCCGACGGAACTTGAGCCCTACATACAACTACTCGGCCATCGGTAGCCCGACGCGCTCATCCGTCCGAAACTCCAATACAAATTTCAACGAAGACGATCAGCAGCACCCCCGATCTTCTGAACCAGCAGAGAATTGGAAGCGAGCCGCAGAGGTCACTAGTCAACTAAAGGCGAGGATCGAACAAATGAAGGTGAGTTGATTGTTTATCTGATTACGTATGTCTTGTACTAACAACAATGCAGGTACGCCAAGGGCTTTCACGACCTCCTCAACGTTAATGACCAAATGACCGCGATCACGTTTATGTCTCGTCCTTCTTCATGCTATACACCTTCTTCGCTTCAACCTGTGTCTTTAGATGGGGTTTCTCCGTGTCATCATTCATATTAAAATCGGCGGTGAGCATATCTGGTCTTCTGGGAGCATGGTGGCTGGCTGAGCTTTTGGGTTTCTTTGTACTTTTTCTTTTTTTTTTCCTCTCTTAGCTTTGGCCTTGGACCTCTGTATCTTGCTGTAATTTCATCATACCAGCCTCGTGTTCTCTTATTCTGCTCATGGATATTGATTCCTAGTATTTAGTGTAATAAAGCTGTTATTGCTATCTTGCTAGCTCTCTCTCTCTCTCTCGTGTCGGCTCTATTTTTGGAAACATAAGCCGTCGCCTTCTATGACTGGCCTGAATAAGTGCCCCTCAATGATGTGACGGTGAATGAGTGCTGAAGTGGCACTAGTGGACGAGTATAAAACCCACTAAGACTACCCCTCCTTCCTTAATTTCTTCTTACTTCTCACATCCCTCTTCACATCTCCTCTTACCCCTTTACTTCATATATCAATTCACAATGGGCTGGTTCGATGGTGACTATTCCCCTTATACTACCTCGATACCAACCTTCGACTAACTCCCATCTCTAGATGACTCCAACCAGGCTCAGGCCTACAACACCTTCAACGGCCAGCAAGAGCACGACCCCTCCGTGGTCCACGAGCTGATTGCCGGTGCCGCTTCCTACGAGGCAGCCAAGGCCTACGAGAACCACGTTGCTGAGAACGGTACGTAGATAGCCCCACCCAGCTGAGCCAGAGAAAAAGCTAATATTAATTTGGCAACAGGCGAGCCCCCCAGCCACGAGAAGGCCAAGGAGATCCTCGCTGGCTTTGCCGGTGCCTTTGTCGACCGTGAGGTCGAGAGCCGCGGCTTGGACTTCGTTGATGCCGAGAAGGCCAAGTACCAGGCCAGACAGCAGGTCAACGATGCTTATGACAACAACGGAAACCAGTTCTAGATAACGACCTTGTGGGTGTGGCATGTGGATATATTGTCTGTATCTAGTCCAGTTATGTTGTATGTAGCATGTGCCGGAGATGTGTTTCAGGGGGGAATAACCCCTCAATTTCACTCTCACCTACCGTATTACCCCACCTGATCTTGTAGTGTTGTTAAATCTTGAATAAACGGTCTGCTTCTTCGATGCAGGTCCGTTTGATAGCAGTACATGTATGTATGCAGATGATATGTGCCAAGACGGGACTATCCTTTAGAAAAAAGACTTGGTATTCTTGGCAGGTGTCAGGTCGCATGAAGTCGGAGAGAAGGGAGAAACGGAAGGGGAGAAATAAATTCCCCGATTCAGCGAAATGTCGGTCAAGAGAATTTTTAACCACCGTCTGCCTGTTGACTCTTTAGACAGATTACATTAACATCATACAGATTAACTACACTTGACAAGATCATCTACTAATTTACTACAATACGAAGCAGACGACATGAATGCCTAGTTCTGATGGGCTACGAAGACCATCAATAGATTGAACAGGTAGAAAAATGCATTCATGGGTATCTGCAGAAAGGTGGTACATGGGAGTTCGTGAGAGAAAATGTGTCTTTTTTTGTTAGAACAGGATCCAAAAAGTGCCAAAAGGCTCTTTCGCACCCATCTAAAGCTAAAAGATTTGGCCGTCAATAGATCGTCAAAGCCTTGGAACACCTTGTCGTTTCCCATAACAACTTATTATTTTTGAGCGCTTCGATTAGAAACGATCCCGTCAAACAGACATCAAAGAAAAGCTGTAGTTACACAAGCTTAAACCTTGATGGCGGCATCGAGAGCCTTACGCTTCTTCTCGATGCGGGCGTTGGCCTTGGCGCCCATGATACCACCACCCCAGTGGCGGCGGGAGTCCTCGTGCTTGTCGGTGTAACCCTCCTTGATGGCGGAGAGGAGCTTGGCGAACTCGGCCTTGTCCTCAGCGCGGGTCTCGGTCAGGGCGAGAACGGCGGAGGTCTTCTTGTGGACGACTGTGCCGAGACGGGCCTTGCCCTTGACAATGGCGTAGGGGACACCCATCTTGCGGCAGAGAGCGGGCAGGAAGACAACCAACTCAATGGGGTCAACATCGTGGGCGATGAGAACGAGGGAAGCCTTCTTGTTCTCAACGAGTCCGACGACGTGGTTGAGACCGTACTTGACGTGGTAGGGCTTCTTGGAGACATCCTCCTTCTTCTTGCCGTCGGCGACGGCGGTGGCCTCCTGGACGAGACGCTCCTTCTTCTCGGCCTTGGTCTCAGGACGGTACTTGGAGAGGAGCTTGAAGGTCTGGGCAGCGGTGTTGCGGTCGAGAGTGGCCTGGAACTGAGCGATGGAAGGAGGAACCTTCAGGCGCATGTTCAGGATCTTCTTCTGGCGCTGAAGACGGACATACTCGGGCCACTTGACGAAGCGGGAGAGGTCGCGACGGGGCTGGATGTCCTGGCCGATACCGAAGTTGCGAGTGCGCTTCTCGATAAGGGGGTTCTGTGGGGGGAAGGTTAGCATCTTCCAATGCACTCCTACTGGGAAGAAGGAAAACTAACCTTGGCAGCCTTCTTGCCAGCGCCAGCCTTGCCCTGGGGGTAGGGCAGAGCGGCGGTCTTCTTTCCGGACTTAGTAGGAGGCTATCATTGAGGAAGAAGATCAGCGTGCTGTTCACATAGTGCTGCATCTTCTTTGAACTCTAAGGAGAACATGAGCCAAGCCGTGTTACGGGCATTGACTCCATGCTTCCAGCCATATCATCACACGATGCACGACACATCTCTTTCGAGGCTGTGCGCGATCGGCGGAATTGCTTAGATCAGAGATCTGAAGCAAAGCGAATATCGTGAGACATCGCGAGAGAACTAGAAGAAGCCTCTGATGTTATCAAGAGACAATTTGGGTACTCACCACCATTTTGTCGACTGGGATTGCGCTGATTGACGGTTGACGGATGAGAAAGGGAAAAGTTCGTGTGGATGCACCTTATGAAGTTTCTGTGGGTCACGCTAGCGCAGTCATGTGATTAGGGCCTAGGGCAAACGGTTAGGGCAGATATACTCGGCCACGTGACAGATCACATGACATCGGATATCTCATATTCTGGCAGGCGCGCTGAGACCTCAGGCTTTAATTCCCGTAAACACCGGAAACCCCAAAATCATCTGATATTTGGACCCCTTTTGATTTCTCCCAAAATCGATCGACTTCGATTGAGACGATGTCGAAATACAGTCTTCTATTCCAATGATAGGACGCTAATCATCGGGAGTACGGAAAGATCGCCGCTACTCTTCTCCAACTCTGAATTGGGCATGGCGCGTTTCTCCAGGGCTACGTGGACCCCACAACTGGCAAGACTTTCCTATGATGTACTACCCCGTTTTCGAGTGTCGGAAACTAATAATGTATCGCAATATAGCAAACCCTGCAAGTATCCTCCTAAGGGGAGCAATCCAGACGTGAACGAGAACCCAGCTGGTTCAATTCGGTCTAGCCTACGACTGGATTCCCGTTCTCATAGCCCAACTATGTTGTACTGAGTCGGGCAATACCAACTGTTCACCAATTTCATTTCTTCTTCCACGTGCAATGCGTGGATGATAACGGCACAATCCGCATGGGACTTTATGTTTCACGAATTCCAAAAAATACGTGAAATTTCAACGAGTCAACCCGCTCAACCTTTCCGATGACTCGCTGTCGGTGACGCGAGAAGAGAACCAATAGGTCATCACTAACTCCTTGGAGATAGGTTCGCACTTTTACGCTCGACTAAAGCAATTTTATTTCCGACCGACTCTATATTTATTGCATTGACTTCCGACTTACCCACGAAAGAGTCGAAGGGCACGACGCAAAAAAAGTCTAGAATGCATTATGCCTGACACACAATATCAACCAATCGCGTGCATAATGCTAGCCCTCCTGTTTTCTAGGAGTGGCAAGGCTGATTCTCCGTGGGTGAATTATATATAAAGTCTTTGAGATCGGTGGAGCAATTCAGCTTCAAGGTTTCTCTTAGTGCTGGGAGTCAATATCTCTACTCCTTCGTCGGTATCTCACAAAGGAGTAGATCAGCCCTGCATTCTACGAAGGGGCATCATGTGTCTTTGATACAAGCACATTTTCTGTTGAAGAGAAAATTGTGGAGGTCGTCGCAGAATTGCGAAAAGCAATTCAGTTCTAGCGTGGTCTCCTATGAACGCAGCAGAAGGAGAAATCCTTAATGAAGTTTTTCTCTTTTCGGTTTCACCGGAAGCATTTTGCCAACGCGCCACAGGAATAACAAATGGCGGGGATACTTTTCCGAAATACTGCCTAAGCAACGGTATAATTCTACGACACTTTTGTTTCACGGAGCTACTGTGGGGGTAGTACAATAATGAATCCCTCGCAGTGAGTTGAATAATTGTATTATATTTATTCATGTACCACTGACTGGATTCCCAGGGATAACGAGCAGAAGCTTCCTTAGTTATGTCATCGCGGGCGAGCATCCGGGTCCTTTTGGGTGGCCGTTTCCCAGATCTTTAGGCAATAACTACAGATTCACTTTCCAGAAGATTGAGCTTTTTTCTGCAACAGGTTTGGGCACAGAAACATTGAAAAGGTTTGCGCGTATGGGCTGTTTAGTACATGATATTCCACATTACTGGTTAGAGATGCGTACAGACTATCTTAAATTAAAGACTCGGAGCTTGGGGCGATTTCATAGATTAACTGCTTTTCCTCAATATATTACTCCGGCACTACTACCGGTACTGCTCTAGGAGACCCTCAATGCGTACTATTTCGGATTTGAACCAGTTGGCGAGGCGTGGATCACCTGATACCTGAATTAGACTCGCGGCCATGTTGTATTGGTATCTCATTTGCGTCAACGCCGAGAATGCGGTTTCCTGGTAGGAACGACCGAGTTCGGCGGTGAAAAGAGGATCACAGCTCATCAGACGCCAACGGCTTAAATCGGTAAAGTACTCTCCGACTTGAATAACAGTGGCGAATTCAACCGCCAGGTCGAACTGGTTTTTGCCTAGAGGAATGGCCATGCGGACGGCATTCCGAAGACCGGGCTCTGACTGAATCTCCGATTGGATATGCCTGAGGGGGTTGCATTTGATGGAGCCTTGAGTGCAAATATTGCAGTCAAAGGAGGCTTGAATACGCATAGTCTATATATATTATGTTAGAATACCAGGGTATCTAGAATGATAAGAGATACTGACTGTTAGAGGCTCCATCTTCAAAATGCAGTGTCTTGATATTCCACAAAGCTCATACTCTGGTGCACAATCAGGATTCGGAGTGTATACAGCCAGTAAATGAGCCTCCGGCAAAGGTCCAGAGACAGTGGGTAGGTCAGGAGGCGAGGGCCAGTAGATGAAGAGAATGAGCGAAAAGAGAGGGGGGCCAGCAGAAATAGAGAGGGGTCAGCCGAGAGACAGGGGGCCAGTAGATACAGAGAGAAGAAGTCGACAAAAAGAGAGGGGTTCGGCTGAAAGACAGGGGTTGACTTCATGGTTTTTCTTTTATTGGACGAAAATGAGGATGCCAGCTACGTCCGATGCAAGCCCCCGTATGGAGCGAATCACGTTAAGGGCCAATCTGCGAGAACCAGCCATTCCTCGACGTCCCGCCAGCTTGGAAAGATCAGGCCGAGGACTTTCTTCGAGCGTAATTCCGTGAATTTAAATCCACTCGCATTTAGTATATGAACGTACGACTTGGGGGTCCATACTTGGAGTAGTTCTGTGAGGCTCGTCCGCGACGTAAGGTTTGGATTGACATGGAGTGCCGGAATGGTGCTAGTGGCTTATGCGCTTCAGCCCTCTAGAAGCCTTCTAGACACTTTTAGGGCCTTTTAGGGCCTTTTAGAGCCGTTTGGGGCTATGGTTTGGCTTGAAATTTAGGACTTTACTAACAGCTACCACAATGACCCACTTCGAATCGTATAAATAGTTACACCCTTACTATATCCAGCGGTCGTGGCTATGCCACGTAGTAGGCTAAACCCGCTCTTTGCCGAGTGGAACGTCTTCTAATATATTAGCTATAACGGTTCGGAGAATAGGCTATTGCAGATAGTCCTTCTAGCGGATTTCCATGGGCATTCTATTGGAAAGGTTAACTAGGCGTCCACCCGTTTCGATACTAGCGAATACCGGGATAGGGCGCGCGGCTATGGTTAGGAGAATGCAAATTGTGGGCTGATCGTAGACTGAATGTTTAGCAGATTCCTCTACCTTTGAACAATAGTGAGCCTGAGTTGTTCGGACTTCCGGGATGAAAGTTGTTTCCGGAGAGTTGCTTGAGAGGAGAAGGGAATATGCTCATGAAAAATATGCTCATGAAAACCGGTTTATATACATCGAAGAAAATGGGTATTTGGCTTTACAAACTCCACAATGTACAATCACATCACTCAACATACCATTTAAGGGCATTAATAACCGACAAGTATATAAAACATCATTCCCAAATCCTGCCAAGCAAGTCTAGAATGCGTAACCAGAACGCCTTGGATAGATCAAACGGGACACCACGGTCCTCAAATCCATCAATATGCAGGTCATCGAAGAGAAAGCATCTGTCCATAGATCACATCACCTCCACGCTCCCAACCCGGGCAAAGCCCCACGACCCAAACTGGTACTGGCAGCCTGAACAGCCTTTCTCTTCCCCAACGATCCCTCCTGAGCACGCACACCAGCAATGATCTTCTCTATATGCGTCTCAACCACAACACCACCGACAATCATCTCGCCGAGCACCGCATGCAGGGTCTCATAGCCGAAGATCAGATCCAACTCGCAGACATTCTCAAACATCCGATCCAGCGCCTCGACAAACACCTGAATCAGATCAATCAGAGCGAGTGGGGACTCGGTCGACGTAGAGATCATAATGAACGACAGCGTCGCGTAGGTCCGGTATGTGATTTGGGTGGGGGTATCGGAGGGCCCGGAGGCGGTGGAGCTGGCGCCTTGCGAGAGGAGAGGAGGGAGTGGGAGGAAGTTGCAGGCGCTTGCTGGACGCTGCGCGACTAGACGGTATATTTGCGCGATCAGGGATTGCTGGGTTTGTGTGTCCTGTTCCTGGGGTTAGTGGTGTCCTGCGACGGGTGAGGGCGAGGGCGAGTGCGGCGGGGTATCGACTCACCAGCTGTGTGTAGAATTTGGTCAGCCGGGGTTGGCCATTGTTATTGAACACGAGGACTGCGTTGATCATTTTGACTGATGTGAGGCTTGGAACATGGGCAAGCTGGAGAGAGTGTCAGTCTTATCTGGATGCGATAGCTGATGATGCGGTTCGGGAGACTTGCCCCGTGCGTCGATCTGGAGAAATTGATACCAACATCTACATTTTTTTTTATTCTTGGCTTTTTGTCAACCCTTTGTTGGGTGTTCGCGAGTCATAATGAACTCAATACCAGCATGCAGGAATCCTGCATCTAGGATATCATTATATACAACCATACGGGCCCTATCCTCGGCCTCTAATCCCCACTCCAAGCGCGAACTCAAAGACCTCACCCCGACCGACCTCTGCTACTACTGGGATACCAGACCCCCGAAAGAGGAGCAACTAGCCTTTGCCGATAAGGTATTCACGCCATCGCGTCACTCGCCGCTCAAACTCTGGTCCGCCGCCAAATTCCGCACCACACCATTCGCATCAGTCGAGCCGGAAGTCGCATTCTTGGGCCGCTCAAATGTCGGCAAAAGCTCACTACTGAACGCAATAATGGGACAGGAGATCTGCTGGACATCGTCGAAACCAGGCCGGACGAGGGAAATGAACGCGTTCGGGATTGGAGGTACAAAGGGCGGCGAGTCGAAGGTTGTGCTGCTTGACATGCCGGGATACGGAAAGGCGAGTCGTTCTGAGTGGGGAGCGGAGATTATGAAGTATCTCCAGGGACGGAAACAGTGAGTCATGATGCCTGTCAACCTACCGACCCATGGTATGTACAATGACTGACAAACATGTTATAGACTCCGTCGCGCATTCCTCCTTATCGACAGCACGCATGGCATCAAGCAAACAGACGCCGAAATCCTCAGACTATTCCGACACCACGCAATTCCCCACCAGATCATTCTATCCAAGGTCGACAAGTTCCTCGTTAAACAATTGAAGCAGATAAAGACTGGGGTCACGCCCGCCAATATCGAGCGGCTACAGCTCTTGCTCCAGGGCATCAAACCCATTGTGCAGCCGGACCCGCGGGCTTCGGAGGGGCCTGGGTCTTTGGGTGAGATTTTGACCTGTAGTGCCGAAGCACGGATTGGTCCTGGCCGGGCGCTGGGGATCGATGCTGTTCGTTGGTCGATTTTGTCGGCTGCTGGTATTGATGGGAGCTTGCAGGGTGGCCGGCTTGCTGTGCCGCCTCCTGCAGAGACGCCGGCTATCTTGTCGTGAAGGGCATGCCTTGTTGTCCGAATTCAAGTTTAAATGGAGAGAAGTACTCCGTATGTTGTAATATACATACACCCCCCAAACCTACTAAATGCTTATCTACAATATACACACAGCACTGTTGGCTGACGGTGTAAATTATTATGGGCCCCTTGGTGACCTCCACGTGATCTAGTTACCATAAATCATCATAACTGATGCATACAAACATTGTTAATGAAGCTATTCAGAGATTACCTTATCAATTCGTCTATTAATTCCGGATCTGGGTAGTATTGGTAACAAGGTAAACTCATAAAATGTTTCGAAACCACGATAAGGTATACATTTCGAATCAGGTTGAAGCAACAATACAACAATCCAATAACGCCAAATGACACGCTACCGACAGATCGACTGTATACACAGCGGAGTAAGCTGTAAATCTATTTCTTGCGGGTTCTGTGACGGCCGTCCCATCAAAGTCTGGAAATCAATTTCCAGTGCATCACCAGACACCACTCCATTCCTGAGCCTGGCCGACTGAGTACACTCCAGGGCGTGAGTATGCTGGCCACTGGTAGTAGCCCCAACTCTTCGGTTGACAACTGGGGTCCAAATCTCGATATCTGCATCGTGAGACCTAGGATTGGCGGAGACAAGGACCACAAGCTGGGTTTGGTGATCCGAGTTGGAGTACCACCAGCGGGCATCCACCTGTAGCCGAGGGACGGACTCGGATAGGCCGACCTCTAGCACAAGAGAGGGCCATGGTATAGGTGCCCCGGCGGCCGGTTCCATTCCAGGGGAAAACGATGCGTCTGCCTCCTTACTGCACATACGACCAGCTGATCGTCCAGCCCCTCCAAGCCAAAAATCATGGTTGATGAAGCTCAACCCCATATTACTAAGAGCATAGTTAATCCAGGTATCAAACTGACGGCTTATTTTCTCATGGTAGTGGTACGGTATGATCTTATATAAGATCATATGCTCGTGGTAGAGAATTGTTGCGCGCACCCCTTTTGGAACGTCAGGGTGTTCAATAAGCGCCGAAAAAAGATCGTCCGGGATCCGTTGTACCAGAAGGTATTGCGAGCTAGGAGGGTCCTCTGACACAAGCTTTGTTTTGAGTACGTCGAGATAATCCCAGAGCTCATCGAGAGAGGAGGGTCGGTCGAGGATATTGGCGGTTAGAAGGGTTGTAGGATCGACCCCAAGGTCAATACTTTCGGCGTTAGAGGATGGAAGAGATAAATCGGCGTTACCAGAAGGCATAGCGAGATGGGAGGTGGGAGGTGAAGAATTGGATGGGTAGGAAGTCTGAGAAGTTTGATGAACGGAGAGAAGAGACCACTGATCGAAATCCTTGAGATGGAGATAGCAAGATATGTGCTTGGATACTTGTAGAGCGTACGGAGTAGTTACGACCCATGATGATTGAACTTACGTCACAATAACTCAGCCTCGAGGTGTTTATCCTATGGTCCATGTTGGAAACATTTGAATGCTTCGCTACGAGAACCAGCAGCCGTAAGCAGAACACATGTACTATATTACAATACAACCTAAACACCAATCCAACTCATGACACAATTTGGAACAGATCATAGGTAACCAATCTATTATGGGCAGTCCGATACGGACAAAGCAAGACGAAAAATATGTAAAAGAATCACCGATCTGGCAGGCAACAGAATGGGAAGTCACATAAGCATCAGGCAAAGAGAAAACGTATGGATGGCAGGATGCATGGGGATAGGCAAATATTTGGGAATACAGAATGATAGAAACCTCCACATAAGAGATGATGAAAGATATGAAAAAAAAACGCCTGGTCCCT